GAAAAAGAAAAAGTTATTACACTATTTATAAGACAATTGTATTTTATAAAAATAAGTAATTTTAAAATTTTTACCATAAAAAAATATTTTTCAAAATTATTATATTTTTAATAAAATTAATAAAGAATATTCTATTATCAGTTTTGGAACGGGCCCAGAACGACCCGTTCTGAATCCAGAACGGAACCAAAACGGCCCGTTCTGAAACCAAAACGGCCCGTTCTGAAACCAGAACGGCCCGTTCTGTTGCATCTGGAACGAACTGTTTCAGGTGCAAAATTAACACACCATGAGTGCATCTGGAACAGCCCGTTGTGTTTTCAGAACGGGCCGTTCTGGTTCCAGATGTTTTCAAAAAATTTGGCATCCACGTGGTATCCACGTATGCATCTACGTGGCATCCACGTGGCCAAAAGTTAACTCCGTTTAAATAATTTGGACGGAAGTCCCAAATTGAAACCAATTAATTTATTTGGGACCAAATTGAAACCAATTAATTAATTTGGGACCAAATTGAAACCAAAAATAAAAGTGGGACTAAATTGGAACAAACAATTATTATAAGGGACCAAAATAGGCTTTTAGTCGATTAAAATAATAATTTAAATTATAAAATATTAAATTAAATAATTATTTTATAATAAATTTATTAAAAATATTAATATTTTAATATTCAATATGTGATTTGGAATACAATTTCAGAACATATATCAATACTCTTTAGGTTTAAGTTCTAAACTAACATCCATCGTTTTGACAATAATCGAAACTCGTTTACTTACCTATTAAACCTAATTTTATACTCAACAAAATAAATACTTATTGTAATGTAAATTTTAAACTTGAGCTATAAAATTAAGGGGACATTTGATACTCAATATGTTTTTAGTTTATCAGGAATTTAAAATTGAAAATATATTTTTTCCCATATTTAGCTTATTATCCAAACATAACATTATTAGAAAAATATTGTTATTCAATATTCGTTTACTTATATTTTTCACAAGATTATTTCTAAGAGGTGGAAATCTAACTTTTGGGAAAAAAAATATTAAAATTCTTTTACTTATATTAACTTTGTTCGAAATGGTGGGAATGCCTGATAAATATTAAAGTGTAGTTTTGATTAAGAATAAATAAAGAGAAGAGAAATATAATTGCAATGAGATCCACCACTTTAAATCTTGTCACCCAACAGTGAGAAAAAAAAAAAAAATACAGTTGCCACGCAAAATTTGATCCAACGGATCCATTTAAAAAAATAATAATAATTTAACAAATATATTTTTATAAAAAAATAATTTAATTAACCATAAAATATATCGATTTAATTTTAAAAAAAAATTGAACAGTGGACAATCGTAATGATGAGAATAAGATAATTGAGACAGTTCTTAGCTACCCATCATCAGGAATCGGATGTTATTCAAGCCAACGATATGTAAATGAAACTTATCTAACTCTTATAACTATTGTATAACAACTCTAAGAGTTGGATTCAACGATAAGGATTAATTCATGTTTAAGTAAGGTTAGAGATTCGAATCTTGTCTTATGTATGCAGTTATGTTAAATTTTGGAACAAAGATATCTCCCTCTTAGCGAGGAGATTAGTCACGCCTATCAGTCCTGGATACTCCAAAGACGAATAAAAATAGAAAAAAAAAAACACTATTGTATAATAACCGTACGGGTTAAGTTACGATCTTTCATTTTTTCATCTAGTAATATAATTCTTTTTAATGTATTATTTTATTTAATATATAATCAATTATGATATGATACATTATTTTTTTTTTTTTCATAAACATGGAGCTACCTTTGCGTTTCGTTTCAGTCTTGCTAAAAAAAAATAACAATAAGCCTGAGTCCAACATTAATTTTGAAAACATTCAATTTTTTTTCTTCTACTAAACCCATGACTATAATAAATTCACCTTAAAATCTAAAAGAATCTGAACAATAAATCAAATATCTACTTTATTAATGTTATAAATAATAGATTTGGTATAAAAAAAAATCAAATGATGATCTATATCCATATCTATACTATTAATTAAAAAAAATCACTTTTATTTATTTTTATTTATAAATAGTAGTGTATGCAAATGTTAAACTAATTTATCCTTATAACCTGTCACAAAACTTTTCTCTTTTATTTATTTAATATCCTTATTTTTTCCTACTTCAATGACATTCAATTTTAAACCTTTCACAATTTAAGTAATCACTTATTATTATTATTATTATTATTATTATTATTATTATTATTATTATTATT